GTAATTATAATTTAAAAAAAAGGAAAAAAATGTAATAAAGGCAAGAAGTGCCTCTTAGTTAAGGGCTGGAAGAGGTGGGTTTTAGAGGACACGTGTCAACCACACGCCTTTTCTCTTCTCTCTTCGTCTCTTCTCTTTCTCTCCATTGCTTTTTCTCTGTCTGAACCACAAAGCAAACAATAGCGTCCGAATTTCAATCAACTTGGATCTCGCTCAGTCTCCATGTCTGGAGAAGAAGAAGAGAACGCTGCCGAATTCAAGATCGGAGACGGTTAGCTCTCTATTTTCTTCTTCTTGATTGCTACAATTAGGGCTTTTTTTTTCTTTTCACTCAAATTGATTCTTATTAGTGCAATACGATTGTAAAAGTATCGTCCTTTATGAATTCTCATTGAGCTTTACCCTTGAAATTTATGGGTTTTGTTGTTTTGGGAATAGAATTTTTGAAGGCGAAATGTTTAATGAACAGTGAAGTGTCTTTGATCCTTGGGCAGAGGAAGAGGAAGTGTCTTTGATCCTGACTCGGATTTATTTTTGGTTGTGACGGAAGAAAAGATTCTGATGGAACAGAGGAAGAGAGAGTGTGGTGGTTGTGGGTTTGTGGTGGGGAAGGAGAGAGATGAAGATATTGAGCTTATTGTGCCTTCTGTTTTCAGCTTTCTCATCACCACACTAGTAGTGAATGGGAGTGTCTTCAGTAAGTCACTGTCTTTTTTTTCTCTGCTGCTTTATGGTCAATGCAACGACTAATGGTGAGTTTAACTTGTTTGTTTCACTCATCAGATGTGATTTTTACAATTATGGGAAGAACATAGCCTGCTTAAGATACGACTGCAAGCGACCAGGGGACTTGTTTGTCAGTCTTTTGGTAAGCCTTTTCTTCTTCTCATGCTTCAAAGTAAACATGTTGTTCTGGAGAGAAGACGTCTCTTTGATGATATGTTTTAGAGAATGAAAGCAGAGTTAGACCCTTTATGCACACCATAAAATCGATTTTGTTTTTTGTGACTTGGCTTAATCATGAATAAGAGGGGTTGTGTGAGCTTTATAAAGTGACTTTTAGTTGTTTACGTTATGCTGAATCAAGCCAAGTGCTGCTGACTAGTCCTTATGTTTGCTTCTGTATGCAATTCGTAAATGTTTGCTTTTCATGTTGTTGAGTTGTACAGAAGATGATGTGACTTGGATTCTTATGCAGGATCTGAAGAAACCATTTACACAGATAATGGAACTTGATATGGAAAAGGTCATTGCTGACATCCTAAAGAAAATGAGAGAGAGGCTGCTGCACATAGGTTCGTTACGTAATCAAATAGGCGCTTCTCATCACAATGTTTCATAATTTTGTTTTTTTTTAAGATAGCCTAAGTTTATCTTCTTATTACAATGTTTATCTTCTCATCATAAGGTTTCATAATTTTTTCTTAAGAACCCAAAATTAAAAACCTACCATTGGAGCTCAAAAAACAAGTGTCTCTTAACCCAAACCTCTTAACCATCATTAATTATTAAAAAATTATTAAGAGTCCAAATTTAGTTCTTAGAGTTAATGATGCTCTTATATGTTGAAAGTAAATAGTTGACATCACCCTATTCTAGGCTTCATGAGTCCTTTTAATAAGTAGTTATCATCGCAATCTACGTTAGATTCTTCAATATTATAAAATATAAAAAAATTCTTTTATCTTAAAGTTTTCTCTTTTGACTTGGAAAAAGCAGAAAACGCAACCCAAAGACCGGAAGACGGCTGGTAGGAGAAAAAGGTCGACCTTTTAACTTAAACATAAGGATTTACTTCCTGGATTAACATTTATGTTTGGGAAATTTGCCAAACATTATTTAAAATTTGGTTTCAAATGTAAATGTAAACCTAAATATGAATCAAATATAAAAATAACCTAAAAAACTATTGAAATTACAACAGACCCTTTGTAAATAAACAAAAAATCTGATTTTTTTTTTTACGTTTTAACCCCGTAACTATTTTATCCAGACGACTTTTAATTAAGTCGGGGGCCGGTCACACACACCTTATCACACACACTTTTAATGACCGGGGGCCGGTCGGAGACTATCACCAGAGGCTGCTCATCAGATACACAACTAGCCAATTTTGTGAAAAACCATTTCAAAGAAGGTTCATCTTCAACATCTACAATCGTATAAGTCAATGGAAATATCTGAAAAATTCCTATCTTGTGCGGCTGCAACTAACAAAACACCTCCATACTTCTCACTTAGGTGAGTCTCATCCACCACAATGACCCTTCTCTGATACTTAAAACCTTTGATATAAGCTCCAAAAGAGAGAAATAGATACTTAAATCTATTGATAGAATCAAGTTCTATAGCCATGATAGAATCGGGATTTGCTAAGGAGATTTGCTCGAGATATGATGGCAGACTTGAATATCCATCTTCTGCTGATCCTCTCACCAATGTTTGTGCATATAAAAGTGCTCTGTATGAAGTGGTGTAATCAAGCATCATGCCAAACATGTTCTTCATTGCATCAGTGATATGCTGCGGAATCAACTCATCAATGATTCCAACACGATCAATGAAAAGCCTACCAACATACTTCGGAGTACAATGTCTCTGCTGAGCGATTCGGTCTCCCAATGAGAATGTATGTATTTCCACATACTTTGTTACCCAAAACATGTTTGTCTCATGTTTCACACTCGCTCTGATCTTCCATCCACAATCACTAGCCCGACATGTTGCCACAAGGAGAGTTTTCGTTGACTTGTATATTCTGAAGGAGAACTTACGCCTCACTGCTGTCAACTGCAGCTCTGAAAGCAGTGCATCCTTACTAACAAAACTCTGGTTGACATAGATAATGTTACCATTCAATTTTCCTCCTTCAATAGCATATGTCTTTTCGAAATCTTTAAAAAACATATCATCATCTTCTTCTTCATCGTCATCTTTAACCTTTCCATAAACACTGTAATCCTCATTATTCTCGGCCGTTTCAGAAACAATAGAGATATCAGCATCCTCCTCCCCATCATCCTTCTCCCCATCATCCTCCTCCCCATCATGATTTTCATCTTCAACCAACTCATTATCATCATCATCTTCAAAACATTCATCAGCTTCATCATCATCAAACCATTCATCAACTTCTTCCTTTTCCTCTGAAACCGTTTCCACCTTGCTACGGCTTGATACACAAAGACATACTCTATGCGTTTTGGTTATCTCAAGCAAGTTCGAACTTGTCTATCACTTGTAACATGAATGAGAGGGGTGGCTGGAGCCATCCTCATTTCTGCTGGTAATGAGTAGCTTATCTCCACAGTGACTGTGCTCATCTCCAGGTTAAGTTTGTGAGAGGAATGCAATAACTCGACTATCTACATATTTGATTTCCAGCAACGGATAATCTTCTTGAGCCATTGAAAAAAGTTCAGCATGTTTCGAACTTTCACTCAAAAAAAACATTCTCGCTCCTTTGAAATTATCAACCACAAAATCCCAACAACCATCTTTGAACAACCATTCTCCATACACTGCATGTAACTGACAAATCATCTACAAAGATTCAAAATAAAAACACATTAGTAAACATATAGAAAATGAAAGTTTACTAAGCATTGACGTAGACGACATACAAGTAAGTAGTCCGGACAACTTAACGGTAAGTCTTCCAGACATGTCATTTTTGCAATTGAAATTTAAATAAGACGACTTACTTTTAGGTCGTCCAACTTTGTATGTTAAAAATAAAGCTAAGTCGTCTAGGAAAAACGGGCTAGATTTGCATTTGAACGAATTGTGTCAGATATTTGACTTTTCCTGGATGACTTACCAGTAAGTC